ATGAACGTGCAGACCGCCACTCTCAGCAGCCCCGCGGAGCTCACAGTGGTGTCCCCGTTAAGATACAAGCCATTAGCCGCGCTCATCGTGTTGTTCTCCACGTCAATGTAGCCGCCGTTCCTTACATCAACAGCATAAGCATAAACAGATGATTCCTCACCGTTATTCTCTACCGTAGTCAGCGTATTTCCCTTCACAATGATCCCGCCACCATCAGCAACAACAGCATCGGAGAAATAAACGGCGTAACTATTCCCCTCAATGTAGTTGTCAAGCAGCATCAGCGTCGTGTTTCTCCCAGGGAAAAACTCCAGAAAGCCAATGGCGTGCACTGATGTTTTCACAAACGTACTGCCTACCACCAGTATCTGGGAGCTCACACCAAAATAACCCTCAAACGCCAACTCACCGGCATCCAGCATCGAGGATGTCACGTTCACGTGCACGCGCGCACCACTCCCCCTGATCGACAGGCCCACGAGAACGCACTGCAGCAGCGTGATGTTGAGTGTCTGTTGTGGCGCGTCGAAGCTCCACAGGTCCAGCACAATCGCGGCGGTGAAGGTCACGTTGACAAAGCACAGACCTCGCACACCGGGATCAGGATCGTCCACGGAGCTGATGCTGCCACCGTACACGCAGCGGACCCCCGTGTCCTTCGCGTCGGGGAGCGGGAGCGGCCCAAGGCCGTCCGGAACCGCAGCCGGCACACACGTGTCACCGTAGCCGCCAGCAGCGCACTCACACTCACAGCCGCTGATGCTGCTCGTCCTCGCTTCAAAGCACACAGCGTCCACAGTGCACGCGCCACAGTCCAGCGACGTCACGGGTGCTCCAATATTCAGTTCTTCTCCGTAATTCGTCACAGGAGAGCCCCTTAGCTCGTTGCACATGCCGTAGATGATCGGGCGCAGTTCGGATGGTGGTGGCCAGTTGCTTGTCATGTGTGCAATAGTTGACGAGTACGAGCCGTACGTGAAGTTGTTGTCAAGTATCGACCACACACTCTGGTCGCAGAACGCCACACCGTAGTATTCTGTCACGTACACAACGTAGGCGGTGCGGAACTCGTTGTCGCGGTGCACCAGCCAACTGCCGCCAGTCACAGTCAGCGTGTTTGCCATGAGCATGGCGAAGCCGAGACGGAACGTGCTGGACACAATCTGCAGCACGCTGCCACCATCCACCGCAACGTCCTCAAACACACATGCGCCTTCATAGTATTCGATGCTCGGCGCACTCCACGAGCTGTTCTGTATGGAGGACACGGAGCCGCCGCTGACACGCAGGTACGACGCAAGAGCGTAAATCACGTGCGTCTGCGACAGGACAGCACAGTTGTCCATGTAAAAGACACTGGACAGGTTCACGGCGAGGCCGCGCTCCACGAGGATCGCAGCGCACGAGCCCCCGCCACACACCAGCGTCGACCGCGTCATGAGAAACCGCGTCGACAGAAGCCGGACGCCGTCCAGGACAAGCGCGGGGCCGTACCGAAATCCCGCGAAGCCAGGGGTCGTCGGCACGTACTGCGACCCGCCAACCGTCGCGCGCAGCGTTGAGTTCGCCAGCAGCACACTCGAGTGCAGCGGCATCGCGCCATGCAGCACGATCGTGCCCTCCAGCGACGTCACATTCGTCATGTTGACGAGGGCGTGGGGCATCAGGCGCGCCGTGCTCTCGCTGAGGCCACCAATCCGCAGCTGCGCGCCACCCTCAAGCACGCAGTGGCGCAGCGTCACGTTCAGCGCGTCAGCGAACGCGTCCATCAAGCGCAGGTCCACCGCCACAGTGATCGGCCCGCTGAACACCACCGAGTCGAAGCACGCCGTCGCACGCCCACCGCCAACCGTCACCGACTCCGTCAGCGTCACGCCACTCACGCAGCCCTGCGCACCGCCACCACCACCGCCGGCCCTCGCAGGCGGCACGTCGAACGGCAGGCACGCCTCGCCCACGCCGCCGGCACGGCAGCCGCACACGCAGTCGGAGAACGACGCTGTCAGCGCATCAAAGCACGCCACCGCAGCCGCACAGCCGTCGCACGGCACCACGCTCACGGAGGGCAGGCCGGCCATGCGGTAGTCGCCGCTGCTCCGCAGCACCCGGCCGCCGGCACGGTTGCACTGCACCGACACGACGCCGCTCGTGATCGTCAGCCCGGAGACAAGCGTCGCGCCGGTGGCAACGCAGCGCGCAATAGACACGACACCGCCGCTCAGCGTCACCCCCGACAGCGACGCCACCGACGACGCCTCGCCCACCGCCCACACGTCGTGCAGCTCCAGCCACCCGCCGACACCGACCGTCCCACCGTCGCAGCGCACCAGCGACGACGCAACAGACCCCTCGACGCCCACAAAGCGCAGCACCGAATCAAACACCTCGAGGTGCTCTCCAAGCACAATGCCGCCGCCGCTGCTCACAACCGACACGTTCGTCACGGAGAACACCGAGTGGCTCCGCAGACTGAGAATCGACGAGGACGCCACATGCATCGCGGACGCGGTCGGACCGCCCGACGCCTCCAGCGACACGCCGTCAAGCACCACCGCGCTCGACAGCAGGTCCACGCCGCCGCCAACGTACACCGCCGACCCGCCCGCCTGTAAAGACCTCAGCACAGTGTTGCTCACACGCAGCTGCGTCTGCAACAGCGACATCGCGTGCAGCACAAGCGGCGACGCCACCGCGTCCGTCAGCCCGCTCAGCTGCGAGTAGCGCATCGGTCCCGCCGTCACAATCGTCGAGTCACGGACCGTCACGTTCGTGTGTGCCGGCAGGCTGTGCGCAAACACAAGCGAGCAGTAGCTCCCGGACAGCCCGCTCACGCTCACCTCCAGGCTCCGGTCACTCGCCGGCTCGCCGCTGTAGCCCCGCACGTAGAGCTGCGCACCGCCGTCGCACACGCAGTTCCTCAATTCAATGCGCAGCGCGCCGGGAAGCATCGCAGGCACGTCAAACACCACAGCCACGCCGTTCGTGATGTACACGCCGTCCATCAGCACCGTGTCCACGGCGCGGCCAACCGTGAGGGCTCTGTCCACCGTGCCGCCCCGCAGTCGCAACACCACCGCATGCACAGCAGGCATCCACGCCGCCGCCGCAACCAGTGCCAACGCAACGAGCAGCGCCACACGCACAGCCGCAATGGCCATGCGCAACACACGGTGCCGGCTGCGCGGACACGCACCCACCGCAGACCGCATCCACAAACCAATCAGATATCAATAGAGCTGTCGTGGTGTGTCGCACTCGCCCCGTCGACCGTAACTCCTGCTTCAAGATCCCTTCCTACAAATGGCAAATCAAGAGACACTATTCCGATAGATCGTTATCCCACTACTACTAGTCCTAATACAGCGATTAATCCCTAACACCTTGAAACGATAGTTGTGCTGGTCAAGCCAAAATATCTCTATCTGCACAGTCAGAAAAGAAAGAGGAAGCAACAACAGTAACTAAGCACAGTGGCACGCGGAGGCATCCGGTCACAGACAGTCCCCACCAATGCACAACCAGCGACACAAAAAAGCGCAGACACAACCACGCCGTTAACACCATCGCCCTCCACCCGCCCACGCAGCCCCACACAACCACCATGCAGAGTGGCAGAATCCCAGCAAAAAAGGCACATGGCTATTGGCACCGCTTCTGCAACCAAATGGTTCTACCACAGAGCACTCTTGATGCCGCGAAAGACAAACAAGGGCCGAGACAGAACCACGTGGCAGCGTTACAACCGGCGACCATCAAGCGCGTCAAAGAAAGAAATGGTGACACGGGAGAGGAGTGGAGGATTCGCCATTCGCCAGCAGTAAAGGCGTCGTTCTTCCTCGCGTGAGTCGGCATTGCACAGCAAGCAGCGGCACCACAAGCGCACAACACACAAAAGAAGGAAGGATGAAGAAGGGCGGTAACGGCACTCAGATACAGGGGACAAGGGTCCACACCGATTGTGCGGTCGGTTCCATCCCTCTCCCACTGGGACGCCACTCCACCGACGCCGTCGCTTGCCTCCTCCTTCACCAACACAACGAGGGAGAAGCACCCACACGCAACCGCCAGCACAGAGTACAAGAGGAGCAACCAAATACACTGCAATAACTATATCGTGTAACTGTCTCGTGTGTCTGCCTACGGTCACAAAAAAAGAAAGCATCTAAGAACACACACAACCACAGCAGGGCGCCAGAAAAAAACAAGCAGGATGACTGTTGAAATGCAACACTGCACGGCTGCCCACACCGTGGCAAGCCGCGGGAAATATGCTGGAAAGTAAGAAAATATAAATCCGTCTTCCATTACGCATTCACTCTAAAAAAAAAAAAAACAAGAAAAAACTGCACGCTGCTGCGTGACATCCAAATCGGTGCGCATGTCCCGCCTGCAGATAATGAAGAAATACGCTACACTCGTTACAGTCGTTTAAACCCTCGGTGCCCACACATTATTTATATTCCACTGGGACACTCGGCGTGGCCTTGTGCACCCCATTCCATTGTCTCTTAGCCGGCGCCATCGGCGTGGCACACAATGCCAAGAGCGCCCATGATCAATTAAAAAAGGGGGAAAAAACACTGAGTAGATCCCGCCGTAATTGTCGGACCACAACGCGGGGGGAAATAAAAAAACAACCAAACAAAAACCACGCGATGATGGCCCCTGGGGGAGCATGCTTCCACATGGAGGAAGGGACCTGCGCAGCGAAGGGGGTACAAAGTAAAATAAAATGGTTAAAACAAGGCGTCACAGAAAGTGGCAATTAATTTAAAAGAGTGCGTGGACAGACGCATATGTTCCCACTGGAGGCAGGAAGTCCTCACCGCGATTTCTCAGTAAAGGGCTACAAAGGCGCAAAACCCCAGCAGCAGCAGCAGCAGCAACTGCGACACGCCCCCACGCATGGAGCCGTCACCGTCTCCCTTTTTTGGCGTCGCTCTTCTTGGCCATTTTTAGTTCACCGACACTCAGTGGGCGGTTGTACAGAAAGACGTTCGTCACTGCCACATCGCTGCTGTTGATGTCTCCCTCGCCTCCACCAATGTAGAAGAATGAGACTCCAGCCCTCGCGTCTCAAGTGTTGGTATCGTCTCCGGGCTCCCCACAATCACACCATCCACGTAAACGGAGCCCTTGTGGCCGTCCTGCAGCATGAGCGCCACCTGGTGTTCTTTCCCCGGCTCCCAAGTGGTGTTCGATGTCGTTTTCTTCCCAGCAAACACTGTCTCCCACGTTTTATCCATGCTGTACGACAGCCCAATGAAGTTCGTGCTGACGGGTGCATCCAGATTCGCACCCAGCAGTGGAGCGCTCCCCTTCGCAACCTGGTGGATGGTCACCGTCGCCACAAGAGTGAACCTGTGGTTCACAAAGCTGTACTGTCTGTTAGGTCCCCACCTGCTCATCGACCACATTGCCCTGGACCCAGGCCCCGTGAATTTGAAACCATTTTTGACCTTTGATGCTTTCGTCACGGATGCATTCACGCAACGGTAACCGTCGGTCCCCGTGTTACCACCGGACGACGTATCGGACAGGAATCCAACCAGACCGGCCGTGGGTGTGGACGACTTGGAGAAGGAATCCAGTCTCACCCAAGTACTGAGGACGGGCTTGATCGTCTTCAGCTCATCAGTCAGGCGGGCAAGGGATATGCCCCGGCGCGTTCCCACAATACTCCCTCGTGAAAGGCGCAACGCACCATCTGAGTACAGTAT